ACAACTTTGGGCAGCTATGTTTACTCAGAACTAAGTTATCAAAGCTTAAAATAAACAGTTCATTCTAGCTGGTAATTTCAGCTGTATATTACAGTTGGTAGCGCATTTAATGTGCACGCATTGTGTGTCTACATGAACGTGCAGACTGAAAATAATAATACATAAAAACTATAAGGAAGCAAGACCTGGATCATAAAATGTCTCAGAAAGCTTAACAGCATATTGGACACTGCCTTGTCCCTGGTAATGATAATAATATTGATAAAGTGTTGAAGTTGCGACAGGCCTGTTATTCTTGCCTATTCACGCCATCCCCTGGATCTCATGGAGAAAATGCAGGTGTGCCTTAATATACAACATTACCCAGTTTGTTCATTCAGTGGCAGCTGATAACCATTCATTATTTCAAATACTGAGTGGGTAGAATATTTGTTCAAAACTGGACACCTTCATTTTGGCAAATGCTAATTTTACTCTACTGTGTGCTGTATTTGTGTGTGAAGTATTTTTTGGGGCTTTTTATTGCCTTTATTAAAGTGAAGACAGACAGGAAAGGGGGGCAGAAATAGGGGATGACACGCAACAAAGCAGGTCAGTTTTGAACCCTGGGCTGCAGCAACAAGGACTCAGCCTCGGCACATGGGTCGCCAGCTCTACCCACTGAGCTAACCGGGTGCCCGCTGTGGTTTCTTTTTAATTTTAAGTAAGCTGATAGTGACTGTGTCAACAAAAAATAAATAAATTATAATGTCCTGTAGAATTTGTGCTATATCTGTTGTATAGGCTTACATTAAATTGTATAGCCATACCACAAAAGTGGCCAGGGAGTGTATGTTACAATAAAAAAATAATATTTATACTGCAATATTTATAGATTGACACATGACCCCAGACTTATTCAAAGATTTCCGGTCTAAACCCTAAAACCACGCCTGCATCCCGTACAACTATGTCCATAAAAATCATTATGCAAAACTGATTATTGTAAATCAAGATGCCATTTACTCCTGCTCACCTCCTTGTTCTTGTAGAGAGAGTTGATGATTAGTTTCATCATACGGTTGACTTCAGCCTGAAAAACATGTTTTTCTGACTTTTCTCTGAGTTCCTTGATCTGAGCTGCATTTAGTCCATCCAGCTGGATAGCCTCCTCCTCTCTGAGGAAAGACAGATGCGCACACAGGTGAGATCAGGGACATGCACAACAACAAATCACAGCAGTCAACAAACAACATGCAAATCTGTTCTTCCCTCTAGGGATCAGTGTCCAGGTTGAAGCCGAGGCACACGAGATTCCCAAGCTTTAATGAGGGACGTTCAGTACACCACAAAGCTTTGCCACTACTACAATTTGTGTGCACAAGCCCAGTCACGCTGACCTTGTGCTGTTAACTCAAGGTTTAGTTGACCTTCCTTGATAATGTCAACCACTGTGCAATCAACAGGCGTCATATGAAAAGATATTCATAAGTGACACCCACCTCTGCACCGCCTCATCATCTGTTCTGGAGCCATCCCTGCTTTTACCAAGGTCCTCTTCTACTGTGCCATCGACGTCAACTTCATCATCTGCTTTTACAGCAGCTGCAAAGGGACAAAAAGTTGTTAGGATAAAAATATCTTACTTAATACTGACTGCAGACCTTTATCAAGATATATTCAGCATTTAAGGTTGATTTCATTTAGATTGAAGCTCAGCAAAAACGTGGTCAAAACAGCAAATAAGTAGGGTGTAACGTTAGGTAGAGTAGGCTGGCTTTTTCTTAATCCGTTATAGTTAGCTACATCTACGCAACAGCATTTTCACTGGCATGTTAACTAGCATCAGACAGCTTTAACATACATGGTGTTTCTACTAGAAACTTCTGGAAAGGCAAATAAGAACAACGGACAGCGTTGCTCCAAGAAATGTGTTAAAGTCAAATAAACCATGCTGTCTATCATTAAAAAAAAAAAAGCTGCACATTTATGGCGGGTTTGCACATGAATGAGCGGAGAAGAAGCACAAAAGCAAGTTAACGCTAGCTTACTGGCTAATGTTAGCTTAAATGGTGGGTAATAAAAAAAAAAAAAGAAAAGTGCAACGAGGTATCAACTCTGTCCGCTACTCACCAAAGGCTAATAGTGCGAAAAGAAGACCTATCACCCAAACTCGTTTCATTTTGAGATACTGCTTGACTGCCGATGTGTATCTTCAGCTCCTGAGACAAAAGCCGGGAGATAGCTGCATGCAGCACTGCCTTTACAAGAGAGACTGACAAGCTACCTCTCCCACCGAAAGAGCCCACTTTATTAAACCCGTGACAACCGACCAATGGCTGCGCACCACGCACAACCTTCGACCAATCACAGCAGAGTCTTCGGTACATGTTGTCCAATCAGATTCTTCAACATAAGTCAATACCCGAAAATCGTGGCTAGACACCATTGGCCAAGAATGAATAATCAGCACATCACTTCCTAAAATTTATCTCTCTGTGTAAAAAAAAGAAAGAAAAAAGGAAAGAAATCACAGTCAACATTTTGGTTAAACTTTGATTTTCTTGTGCAACATCACAGCCAGGGTCACACTGAAACTTGATGACACTGAAGATACAAGCACGGTTTGGTTTATGGGTCTATTGTCACTGACTGTATTCTGTATTCTGTGTCTCTTATAATGTGTATCTAGGCATGTATATATACAGTATTTATACTACAGTGTTGTTCCTATAAAGATGTGGATTCACTGTACTCACATGCTGCTGTGGAAGCACACATTGAATGATGGGAATATATGTGCACCACTCATATTTGTCCACGAGGTGGTAATGTTCAGTTAGTGAGCTGAAAATGCAAATTATGGCAAACAGTCTTTTTTTTTTCCAAACACAGGCTGATCAATATGTGAAGAATATATTCTACTGGAATCAGTAATGGATAAATAGGGGGTAACATTATCATACAAATGTGCACATTGTTTATTGTGCTGCTTGCTCGGTGTGTCTGAGTGTGTGTCCGGTCATAAAGTATAGCATAAGGCAACAGGTGTCAAATATCACTTATTACAGTTACAGAGTTACAGTTATGGGTGGGGTGTGTGTGTGTGTGTGTGTGTGTGTGTGAGAGAGAGAGATTGAGAGAGAGAGAGCGAGAGAGAGAGAGAGCGAGAGAGAGAGAGAGAGAGAGAGAGAGAGAGAGAGATGTTGTAAGGCTGACGCTACACTGCATTTCTGGCTTTAAAAATGTATTAAAGATATGAAATGTCTTAAGGTTGGTTGAAAAGCTGACTCTAGACTGAATTGCTAGCTTTAATCTGTATGAAAAAGCAGCTGAAGGGTTATGGATAATGAATATGTCTGTGTCTATGGTAGCATTTGAATGAAGACTTGTGGAGAAATAAACTCAACCTGCCACTTCATTAGGCACACCAATAATATGGTCCAATACAACAGCTCTGCCATAAATTCTGCCTTCACAAAGATGATAATGTTTGGTTTTGATTGCTATCTGAGAGCTATTATTAATTTAACAGTATGTTTACTGAGGTTGTAGTTGGCAGTGGTGTTGAACTGGACTTCAGTTATATACATGAGAGAGGCAGAATACTGGAATATTATATATTATATAATAATATAATGCACAGTACAACACCACTAACCACTATGATCTAAGCAATAAACATAAAGAAGAATTTGAACCTTTATTACCTTTCTAACAGTGTCAAACATAAACTTATAAGCTTCTTAAAAGTAGAATTCATTGCAGAGCTGTTGGATTGCATTACATTGTACAGGTGTACCAGTGGTTGGTGAGTTTAGGTGTCAGTTGATTTAGCATATTTTTTTGAACGTAGAATAATGTTTGCATATGTGCTCTGTGTTTGTCTTTCCTATCTCTGTGAATGCTGTGCTCTTTCTTCTGTGCTTGTGTGGTCTTTCCTTGTCCAGATCTCCATGGCTGAGAGGAGGTTGTGTGTCTCAGGTTCTACCTGAAGACACCTGAACCTCACCATCTCCCTGGATCCTACTTTCCTCTCATGTTTTACTATTTCCATATATCTGTATTTTTGTTATGTGTATATTGTGATATTTTTGCTGATCCATTCTGTCCTCTTCCAGATCTCCATGGTGGAGAGGAGCTTGTATGTCTCATTCAGTGACATCTGATGTTGTTTCCTTCTGGATCCACATTCTGCACATATATTTTATAATCTTCATGTATCAGAAATGGTGTCATCAGTATTTGTATGTAATGTGATTTTCTTGGTTTGTGCAGTATACACAACATCTATTGAATGTCTGTCGATCCTGTGAGAGGGATTCCCTCTTCTGTGGCTTTTCCTGAGGTTCAGTTCATTTTTACCACTTAAATAGGTTTGTTTGGGGAGTTTTTCCTTACCCTATTTGGGGGTCTAAGGACAGAGAGGGTTGACTGTTGTACAGATTGTAAAGCCCCCTTAGGTAAACTATTTGTGATTTTAAACTATATAAATAAAATTTAACCTCTCTTGACTTGATGTACTTCTGCACTCCAGTGGTGGCCCCATAAGTTCAGAGTTTCAGGTTGATATCTCAGTGCATTCATGAGTTACTGCAATTTTACCAGGTACTAAGTCAGAATAATGAAGAAGAATATTTATGTTGTTAATCCAGAATGGAGAAATTCAATTCAAAGTATCAAATAATGAGATACTCAGTCAAACTTTGGACTTTTTAAGTCAAAATGATGGCACATTAAGTCTAGTTGAACTCACAAGTGTGTTATAAAAAGTCTAAAGTTTGATTTTCCATGATTATATTCATTTATGTCACTTCAATCTCCGGTCTTTTAATGCAAGAGAAACAGACACCCTTACTGGCCTACCCACAGTAACCATAACAACAGGTCCTTTTCTGGATTATGCATATTTAATACGTATCTGGTAACAATATCGCAGCTGCTCAGTCAAGCCACTGAACCAGAGACGCACCGGCGCCTGATTGGCTGGTTGGGTGGGACCTTCCCAAACGCGGAAGTGACGTACTAAGCAACCATTCAGGGACACTTTCGGTATTTACAGACGAGTCCGTCAACTGAATGCAATCATCAAGGAGTTCACAGCGACCTACACACGGGTTGCCACCCAGAGAGTCATGGCGCCCTTATCTTTCCCCCTGTCGTCCCTTCTGAAGCTCAAGGACTGTGCGCAGAAGGCGAATATCTTCTGTAATGTGCTGCAGGGTTTACACCACCGGCCGCTCAGATCTCGCTTATGGAAACGGAATTTCGGTGCTGTAGCACATGGAGTCGGTCAACTACTGTCACACCAGCCCAGAGGCAAAAGCTACGCAGCATCTGTTTGCAGCAGCTCTTCAGACGGCCAGGACATGACAGATAGGCTGTGGTCTGTTTACAATGAGACCAAAAAGCAGACTGAAGGTAGGCACATAATAGAAAAAAGTAGCATTCACCCATTAAGATACAGCACTGCGGCAAACACAAAACTCTTGTTGCCTTATTATAACCCTGTTATAACTGATGACTAATGCAACAAACATTTCTACAGCTTCAAGTTAGCCTTTCAATCAATAAACTCCTCCTGCACATCTGATAATAATAATATATTGTACAGTAGTTATTGGCTATTTGTTTCACTGGGATGGACAAAAGAACATGAACACTAGCAGTGTGATTAAGGCCACCTTTTGTGAAGCTTATAACAGGCAACTTTAGTTTTCAAATCTCTCTCTTTCTACATATATATATATAAGTAATTATGTGAAGTGCATTGTATTATATTCTAAGGCATTCCAGGTATTTTATCCAATGCTTAACACCAATTCAAAACCAACATACCCATTATCTTCAAGGAGCGTGGTCGTACCCAAATATTTACAGAATTTTGCAAACAGGGTGGACGCCATGCAATAATACTGAAATACGTGCAGTATATAATGTCCAGTATTTGTTGAGAATGTGTCAGAGAAGGTTTGAATCAACTTTTCAATCAATTTTCATTAGAGAGTGGTGGTACTGAGAAATAGTGCAGGTACTCAAAAGTAATTTATTCCCAAATGGAAGGAAACTGCAAAATAATAAAAATGTGTTTCTCTACTCTTAGATTTGTTGCCAGTCATATCCACTAACTCAGTCAACCCCAACACCATTTTTGCCAACAATGAGATGAGCCTGCGAGACATTGAGATCTATGGCTTCGACTACGACTACACCTTGGCCTTCTACTCCAGACACCTCCACACCCTCATCTTCGACATAGCGCGGGACATCCTTATCACTAACCTCAGGGTGTGTGTGACTCTCTAAAATGAAACTGAAATTAATTTGCAAACTAATGATATGCAACCAGTTGTTTCCTAGCTTGTTTGCCTATAAAAATATGTCATATAGAATCAGGTCAAGATCCCACTAGAACGATTTAACCCCCGAAACATTTCCAGTAAAGATACTCTGGTAGAAACCTGTGTTTATGACGGGATAATCAGCCCTCATTTAACGTTTAAAGTGGGCTATGACAATAATAAGGCATTGTTTTTACCTACATAATTGGATTATGGATTAGCCTTGTGGTTTACTCTATTGATGTTGCTCAGTTGTTTTGAGATCAAGTTGATCTAAAGTCCTGTTTTGCTCTCACTGAAAATCTCTTCTTTTATTTTAGTATCCAGAGGGTCTGCGAAACTATGAGTATATTCCTGATTTTGCTGTAAGAGGACTTCACTATGACGTTCAGAAGGTGGGAAGGTCTCACTTGTTTTATATTTTGTATCAGTTGTACTGCTCCGTATGTTGAAGCTAATTTTTGTGGAAATATTGAATAATTTGTTACAGGCACTGCTGATGAAGATTGATGCTTTTCACTACATCCAGTTGGGAACTGTCTACAGGTATCTGTGCACTGTGTTACTATTAAATAATACACTGATGACAAATGTGAAACACTGTGTGAATATAGCATGCTTCTTTCTAATAAATCAGCAGATTTAGAGAAGATATGTGTATTATATTATTATATTACTGATGCAATCATTGAATATATCAGGCTATACATTTTACAGCTTTTCTTTAGTTTATCATCACTTTTAGGAGGTTACGCATGCTATAAATGACATGATAATATGAGTTGTCTAAGGATTCGATATTTTGTGTGTCTTGTTCAGGGGTCTTCATCCAGTTCCTGATGAGGAAGTAATCGCCATGTATGAAGGTAGTCACGTACCTCTAGAGATCATGAGCGACTTCTATGGCAAGGTGATGATCCTTTCTTCCTTTTCTATATGACATTACAGAAACAACCACAAACAAAAGAATATAATGATGTTAATCACTGTCCTGCAGAGTTCCCATGGCCACACCATGAAACAGTTCATGGACATATTCTCCCTTCCTGAGATGACCCTTCTGTCCTGTGTCAATGACTTCTTCATGAGGCACAACATCGACTATGAGCCAGTCCATCTCTACAAAGACGTAAAGGTGAACTATTGTGTTATTGGTCTACCGTTTCTGATGTTTTGACAAACTCATACAAGCATACAATATTTCTGCAATAATCTGACAAGGTGACTCAGTAGCATTCTGCTATTCCCAGTTATTGTATCTCCTAGAGGTCAATGTGTGTTAAGACTTTAAATAGCTGCACATGTACATAAATGTTAATGTTTTTACACCTTTGTAGTGTGCTGTGATACTCCAGCCATTCAATACCATCTTAATTTTAGCTCTGAAAACCGGTGTCTAATTTTAGTCGAGCAAGTCCCTCCTCCAGCCATCTGCGTCTGTTCTCTGGGGGCTCTGTTACTTCAGAGGGAGAGTGACGAGGAATCAGCGCTGTGTTCTCCCTTTGAGGGCAGCTGTCACGCTGGTCCTGTCTGTTCTTGGTGACACAGTGTTGCGTCTTTGACAGATCGCTGTCATTAAAAGCCCTCACACAGGCTCTTTGTTCTGCGAGTGCCTCTCATATCTTTTGAAGGACACCCCGCTCAATCTTATTTTTTCCTGCCAAGCCCGATTAATTATTCAGCGTTAACCCCGTCGATTTGCTTACGTTTCCTTTTACTTTTGTGTACATCAGATAATGTTTGCATTTCATAAACGTCCTTTAAATGTGCAACTTTGCAAGGGAGAGTCTATTTACTTTTTCACTGATTCAAAGGTACACTGTTGAAAATGTTGTGGAAACTTTCTCACTATGTCACCAAAGTAACTCCGCGGGCTGCTTTCTTCATATTTAATTTGTATTCAGAGATGCACTTTTTTTGTGCTACCAAGTCAACTGTTTATATAAAGAGCAAAGTGTTGCTACTGGAGCTGAATGCTAACATTGTGTCACTGAAGTCATGACTTCCTGGCTGTTTACTTTTTCCTCTTCACAGGAAGCCATTAGAGATGTTCACGTCAAGGGAATTATGTACCGAGCGGTGGAGGCAGATATTGGTAATGTTCTTTGATTTATTTACTTTGTTGGAGCTAATATAAAAGATATTATTGGGCCACATCTGAGTAGTTGCCAGGACATAAACATGGAACATGGAACTCAGTAATAATGAGACTGTGATATACAAATAAAAAGCAGTGCAGTTTTGTTTGTGCAAGTTATATCAGTATCACCCCACACACATGCGCACACACACACACACACACACACACACACAGCCCACCTCTTCATTCTTCCTCTGTTTTCTCATTTTCCAGAGAAATTCATCTGCTATGGTGAGCAAAGTCACGCTGTGCTGAAGAAGCTGTCAGAGCATGGAAAAAAGATGTTCCTCATTACCAATAGCCCATTTGACTTTGTGTAAGTGTGAGCAAACAGAGTGCACGTGGTTGTCTGCATGATTCATTAAAAACGTCATGTATCGGCATACTAATATTTAATTTGTGCTGCTGTGTAATGTTACCAGTTTTATAGATGGGTAACATCAAAGGGTTCTCTGTCCGCAAGTGTTTGTAATTCATTGGAAGTCATTGACTGTGAGCCTCTTTTGAAGTCAGGATTGATTGCCCAAAATGACCAGCTATGCATATCCAACCTCAAAAGGCTTTCCACAGCCCAAAAACATGAAACCTATGTCCTTGATGTAATAGTTTCTTACGTTCAGTCAAAAGGAGAGGCTGTCCGCACACACAAATTCCAAAGTTTTGACCTTGACTTCCTCCTGGATCTATATTCTTTATACATGTTTACAATCTATCCACATTTTAAAAAGCTGAAAAAAAATTCAGTGCACAGACAGCCTCTTCTTTTGCTTTGTTGCTGTTTTTTGTACTCCTATACTGGGGTACACGGGGTTGGATGTGCACCCAATTCATTCTTTTTGCACCAAACATGGAACAACAACGTAGACAGTAATATGGCAGTTTAATTTAAAGTCATACTAACAGAGTACAAGATAGATTGTTATGATTGATGTTTAAAGATTGATATGTTACGTTATATTATGCTAGTGCATCGTTGTGCCCTAAGCTCAAGTGTTTTTTATCTTCATGGTGAGCTTTAAGATGTTGCTGACTAGGTTATGTCTCGAATATTTGTCCTTCTCAGGGACAGAGGAATGCACTACATTGTAGGGAAGGACTGGATGGACCTCTTCGATGTTGTGATTGTTCAGGCCGACAAACCTGGTTTCTTCAATGACAGGAGAAAGTAAGTTACTGTGTCCATGCTGTGTCTCTTTTATCGCATTAAGGGCCTCGCTGGCCCACATCGTTACCAGTAGACCGTGTCAACTATTTGTGCACAAAAGATTAGGCTATGTATGTTTGGGAGCTGCCAATATTACAAGGGGGTAAGATTTGTTTGTGTGTATTTTTTCCCAGACCTTTCAGGCGAGTGACAGACAAAGGTGCTTTGCTGTGGGACAGGATTCACAAGTTGGAAAAAGGGAAGATCTACAAACAGGTGTTGTGGCAGAGAATGACATGCCAGTATAAAATTCTTGGCAAATTTCTCCTCAATGCACCATATAAAAATATATGGTTGATTTGTTATTTTTTTTATTGTGTGTGTTTGATCACTGTAGGGAAACCTTTATGAGTTCCTGAGACTCACCGGCTGGAGAGGATCCAAAGTGCTTTACTTTGGTGATCATATCTACAGTGACTTGGCAGTAAGCAGCATCCATGGCATATATTCAAACAAAAGGCTCATTATAACTACACAAAACACTGTAGTATGAAAGATTATGATATTATGAACAAAGAGGGGAGCCCTGCTTTGACCATGCTCCATTTAAATCCAGTGTATCTGGAAGTTAATTCCTATATGCAATAGTCTGAGTCTTAAGGTTCTGTTAGAAGATGCACATAGTTAGATACTGAGCAAATGCTTGAAATAGAACAAAGATACTAAAATAACTGAAGAGTGTAATTCTTTATACCTAATCTAAACCACATTTAATTACAGAAGAGGATTAGGGCCACATTTAATAAAAATATGTGAGTTCTGACCTTGAAGTCAGAATTCTGAGAATAAAGTCAGAATTACGCAACATGGGTGAGATTGAGTCAGTCTTTACTTGAGCTTTATGCACATAACTGCAAGTCTATTTTCTTTCATTTTATCTGTACTACTACATTTACTGCGTATTGGAATGTCAGCATTGTGAAATTGTTTAAAGCACTCCATTTCATTTATTATTGCTGAATTCCTGGGTGTAAAAACTGTTCGTCTGTATCTTGTTTTGCAGGATCTGACACTGAAACATGGCTGGAGGACGGGCGCCATCATCCCTGAGCTCAGGAAGGAGATCAAGATCATGAACACGGAGGAGTACATGCACATGATGGCCTGGTTACAGGCACTGACTGGACTTATCGAACAGATGCAGGTCAGGAGACTTCATAAAAACATTTGTGTCTGTCTTTTGCTTTTTGCCTCCACCCTGAAATTTCTGTTTTAAAAGGTCCAGTGTTTAACATTTAGGAGGATCTACTGACAATAAATGGCATATAATGCTTAAAGTATGTTTTCATTAATTTCATTATTGTATAATTACCTTAGAATGAGTCGTTTTTATGTACAGAGGCTGCTCTTCCATTGAGTCCGCCATGTTTCTGCAATAGCCCAGAACAGACAAACACTGGCTCTAGACAGGGCCTTTCGCGTTCTTCTCCTACAGTTTCTCGCCGCTTGGAAGGGGAGAGTAAGGCGAGTTTGTTGCAGTCTGAAATCTCAGTGCTAGATACCATTAAATCCTACACACTAGGCCTTTAACTTTCATTGCCTTTAATTGATAGTGACAAGAGAGGGGGGAGGGAGAGAGAGGGGCGCCCGCTCTACCAGGTGTGCTATCCGTGTGCCCCCTTTAACTTCTATGCACTGTTCCCAAACAGGTCCACAGGGATCCAGCATCTCAAGCTGTCGTCAATGAGTGGATCAGAGAAAGAGAAGCCATGAGGTAATGTAATTTATATATATATACACACACTGATCAGCCATAACATTATGATCACTGACAGGTGAAGTTATCTTGACTGACTATCATGGCACCTGTCACTGGGTGGGATATAGTAGGCAGGAAGTGAACATTATGACCACCAGGGTGCCCAGTTGGTCATAATGTTATGGTTGATAGATAGATAGATAGATAGATAGATAGATAGATAGATAGATAGATAGATAGATAGATAGATAGATAACCTCATCTTGATGGTATAAATGTGTTTTAATGGCAGGTCGCAGACAAAGGACATCTTCAACGGTCAGTTCGGGAGTCTCTTCCGGACGTACCACAACCCCACCTACTTCTCACGCCGACTCTCGCGCTTTGCTGACATCTACATGGCCTCCATCAGCTGCCTGCTCAACTACGACTTCCAGCACACCTTTTTCCCCCGCCGTACTCCCCTGCAGCACGAGTCCCCCTTCTGGCCCGAACACAGTCCTGCTGGTATTAGCGTCTCCTCGCAGCTCCACAGGACCAATTCGGATTAGAGAGAGAAGAAGGCCTTCCAAAATAAAGAGGAGGACTGAAGGTTCTCCATTGCTTACTTTAGTTTAAGTTTTGTGACATGGCATTTTAGATGATGCATGCCACATTTTATGTGTATAATTGGTAATAATCATGTAAACTGTTGATGTTAATTAAGCTTCAAACTAGTTAGTTACATACTTCCTCTCAAATTATTCAGTCTTTAAGAAGAACAGTGGGTTTATTGCTTTTTCAGCCAAATGACAGAAGGAACATTTTGACATTTTTAATGTTTAAAACATGGATACTTATATATTTTACATTTTTATTACACAGAATTTGGAGCTTTGGATGCACTGATTGTTTTAGGTTTGCATGTGTGTGTGTCTTGGTGTGTGTGGGAGAGAGAAGGGTCGTGAGAGATTATACAAAGATGATGCAGTTACACAATCTAAACAATAGGGAGCAGTCACGCATCAAGTGTATCTTGGAGCTCTGTAACACAACTATACAAGAGACTCAGTGAAATGCAAATACTCAGATGTGACATTTAAATGACAGACTTTGTTGCCTTAATCTCATGTGCACATTACTGCAATGTATATATTTTTGTAATAGTCTGATATAATTTATTGTAATCAAGCTTTTCAAATTTTGCCACCCAGCATCTTAGTTCATTTCACTTTGAACGGCACATTGTGATGCACATTGCACATTTATGTTCTGAGATATTTGTATTTACAATACAGTACAACACAGCCTGTAAGTTTCATTTAAGCAGTTAGAAATGTTAATATCTGTCAGGAGAATATAGAGCATCATTGCTATATTTAGCATGAGTGTTGCTGTTTGATCTGTGAAGACAGCAGTGGGTTTTGTGGGTTTGACACTTTTACAAAAAACGTGTGAAATGTTTTCACACATGCTGGAATGAGGGCTTGAGAATATATTTGTAAGCTGGAATATTAGTTTTTAATTATTTGAAGAAAAGGGAATTCTTAAATACCAGTGGTCACAACCGAGACCTCATGGGTTATCAGTGTTTCTGTAGTTTCAAATATGTACTGAAGTGTATTTTTATTTCACTATTTATTAAAATGGAACTGGCTTAATGACCTTGCCACATGTTTATGTCATGAATTTAAATCAACTTATTGTGGTTGGATAATTGTTCTGTAATTAGGTTTAATTAGCAGGAATGTGTTTATTGAATGTGTGGGTCTATTTGTGCCCTATGCTCTTTTTTCCCCCTTTCAATTAGCCCTTTATAATCAGCAAGAGGAAGAAATAGTTCATGATTTGAAAAATAATTTTGAAGATTCATCTCTCCTTATTTCTCTCAACTTTCCAATCACCATTATAGCAGGTTGGTTTATTGGGATTAACCCTTCCAAATCGTGTTAGGGACCAATTTCCCATATTGCATTTGGGGCTTTCTCTATCAGAACAGGTGCACAATCTGCGATCCTGGAAAATAAGAGAAGCGGAGTGGTTTAACGGGGATCACAGATGATAAGATCGATGACGCTGTGTCCTGAGCTGAGCGGAGTGTCTCCGGCTTCAGTTTCTGGCCTCACAGTTGTTTCACCAAAGCTGGACTTCATTTAGGCACCATGGACAGCAACAGTACGCCGTGGAGCTCCGGCTCTCATCCTCCATCCATCCACCCCGATGTGGTCACTTTGGCGACTGTGGCGCCCACCATCTTCCCCCGGTTGGGCTACAGTATACTTTCTTTCCTCATGTTCATCAACACAGTGTTATCAGTTTTTAACAATGGCCTCGCCATAGCCGTGATGCTGAAGAATCAGTCTCTCCTCCAGCCTATAAACGTTTTTATTCTCAGCCTCGCTGTGTCCGACCTCATGATTGGCCTGTGCGGCTCCCTGGTCGTCACCATCACCAACTACCAAGGCTCTTTCTTCATTGGCCACGCAGCCTGCGTGTTTCAAGGGTTTGCAGTCAATTATTTTGGTAAGTGAAGTTTGTGAGAGAGCAGTTTCTGTTGTATAAACTTTTGAGATCAGTTTTGTTGTCTCTGTGGCTGGTGGTTCATTATTGAAGAACTCAAAGAGTAAGGTTAACATATCCATCCTCTGCAATATTTTTTCAATTAAACTCAGAATATATTCTAGTTTTAAAATATGTGTTTGTTTAATGCTTTTTGAAAATGTCTTTCTACTGTCATCAGATCTTAAATGTAAATTGACATGTAAATGTCATGTTCCTTGTTTGAAAAATGCCTTATTCTGAATTTAAGATCATTGTAATTCTGTAATTCAACTTCAACAAGCTCTCCTGATCTTTTCAGTGGATGGAGTTTTCCCAGTTGTGATACTGGATATAGGAGATGTTCTCTATGACAACAGAACAAACTCTATTCCCTAATAAAGACTTGATGATGCAGTTAAATCTCTAAACTAAGACTTCTCTTTGTAATTTGTTTCTCTTTCTTAGGTCTGGTGTCTCTCTGCACTCTGACCCTGCTTGCCTACGAGCGGTACAACGTGGTGTGTAAGCCGAGAGCTGGTCTAAAGCTGAGCATGCGGAGAAGCTTAATCGGGCTGCTATTCGTCTGGATCTTCTGCTTGTTTTGGGCTGTGACTCCTTTATTTGGCTGGAGCTCTTACGGACCTGAGGGAGTCCAGACCTCCTGCTCACTGGCCTGGGAGGAGAGATCGTGGAGCAACTACAGCTATCTCATCCTTTACACACTCCTCTGCTTCATTTTACCTGTTATAGTCATCATCTACTGCTACTTCAAAGTGCTCAAATCCATGAATAAGGTAAGCTTGTGAAGGCTTTTGCATATTTATTACACTCTTACACCATTAGAACCTGATTTAAAATTCATACCTCCATTCTCATCTGTTTGCAATTCACCACCCACAGACTAAAACAAGTTATTAGCTTTTAATGGGTGTCAAATTTGCTTTCTGCTCGTAGCTGAACAGGAGTGTGGAGCTCCAGGGTGGGCGTTCCAGCCAGAAGGAGAATGATCACGCCATTAGTATGGTCCTGGCCATGATCATAACTTTTTTTATTTGCTGGCTTCCCTACACAATCTTGTCAGTAGTGGTAGTCGTGGATCCAGAGATCTACATCCCTCCACTGCTTGCCACCATGCCTATGTACTTTGCTAAGACGAGTCCTGTCTATAACCCCATCATCTACTTCCTTTCTAACAAGCAGGTAAGCGGCTAAAGTGTATATCTGCTGTAACAAATTAAGATGCACAAGCTGAGGGCCCGCAAAGCCCATATTTAAATTGCATGTGAACTTCATGCTCATGTACTTCCTGACGGTGTTAATGTGTCCAACAGTTCCGTGATGCCACTCTGGAGGTGCTGTCCTGCGGCCACTACATTCCCCATGTGCCCACCAGCGTCAGCATCAACATGTGCTCCTTGAACAGGAGGAGCCGGCAGGCTTCCTTGGGCAAGAGCGTCAACTTGTACAGCAAGGTGTTGCCTCTGTGACTTTCTCCGGCAAAAAACAAGAAGCTGTAATGGTTGTCACTGTTTATTGGTGCCTAGTCAAGGACACAGACCTGCACATATACAGGTCCATGTCCCTCAGAAAGGTCACTGTAGTCCGGTGAGAACAGACTCAGCTCGGAGACTGATAGCTGATATTCAGAAGGTGAACAAAATAAGTGGAAACAAACTAAGTTGTTTTGGCATTTTATTGAATGGCATTATAGGCCAGGTGTTCCTGTAGTTATTGTCCATCTAATTTTTCTTGAACGATAAGAGTATTCCGTAAATGCTTTTATTTGTGTGATTTGTTTAGATCAATAAACTGTTACTTTTTTCATATTGGTGTTTGCAGCCGTGTACTGTATGCATGTGGGACATTGGCAAAAAGAAAGGACAGAAATCACTGACTGAAATGGTTTTGTGACAAATGTGGTTTTCATTTGTAATTTCTTCATTTACATGCATTTTTAACAGACAAAGACAGCCGGACTGCAGAGACAAAGTGAAAACATTTGACCTCTGAATTTATGTTCATAAATAAAATACACCAAACCTGTTTTCATGTAGTCTGAGAATATTTCCTTCTTTCTGAAAGTCACTTAAACGTTTTAACATTTTCAGTGTAATGCATTCTGTGGCATGAAATATTGATTTATATAAAGTAGAGTATAAATGAAATCAGTGTAAACAATAGCCAACTCCATCATGTCATCAACACTGACAGCGATGCAAGGTAATTGTACTTATCGTGGAGTATGCAATGTAAGTCCAGCCTTTTGCCACCACTCAAACTTCCCAGAAATCTGCTGCACAAAACACATAATATTAGATCGCTGCAGTACATAAAGGCATCATTCTACTCATAAGCGCTCTAAATACATGATTTACTCAGCACAATTATTCCGTTGCAGGGAAATTGCAAAGGCAACATAATATGCTCTCCTTCAGACTGGCCTAATACATAAGAATGACATAATGTGATTAAATAAGTTGTACGATACCACAAAATCAAAAAACAAGGGAAATTTGGGTGCACTTGTCAAGCAAGCTTGCTCAACATCTCACCTTTTGTCTCTATAGACTGTTCGGAGGGGGATTAAACAGTTCAGGGAAGTATGACATAATAACAAAAGTCTCTGAGCTGATTCAAACCCAGGACATCGTGTCTTATGTGGCACATGCCTGAGCGTACACTGAGTCACCAGAAAAGATTAATATGCATCACTGAATAAAGATGAAGTAAAAGGACACAGCTAGAGAGAAGTACAACTGTTAAATTTGCGCTAACAACTAGGATTGTGATTTTTTTGGCTGAGGTTTAGCCAGGTTTAGAGATTTAATTCACAGTTCAATATTTGGTGATTTGATTTCTTATGTACATATATACATTTGGGGGGGCTTTTATTGCCTATAATTGATAGTGACAGCTTAAGGGTGACAGGAAATGGGGGAGAAAGGGGATGACACACAGCAAAGGGCCACAGGTTAGAATCGAACCGATGGCCATTGCAACAAGGACAGCTCCACCAAATGAGCTATCAAGGGGCCCTGGTGATTTGATGTCTAAGAGGGATATTTAGTGATTTTCTTCATTTAATTGTTTTTTAATTTTTTTTAATTTATATGTTTGTTTTGCTGAGAAATGATTTTATTATATTTATTAAACTTTGATTCAATTCAGCAACTTTCACAATACTTTGCAATAATGGTTCTTGAATCTGACAATCTATCTTTTCCAAAAGCCGACAGAAATATTTCTATGTCTCTTGAGCAAGTGAAGAGGCACCCCCCTCAAAAACATCTGTCCCTCACTGGTCAGATTGAAATCCAGTCGTCCAATCCCCAACATGAATACCTGAAGCACCATAAGCATAGAGAGAGAGTTCATTCTCCCTTTGACTTTGTTCAGTGCTATGTTTTCTACGGTTGTGTTGTTGGATAAATCTGCTCTTAAAGACGTATGTTAAGTGTTTTTCATTTGCAACTATTCTTTTGTCTCAGCATTTCTGTTTTATCAAGTTGCATATTATCCTGAGTTTACAGTTATAGTTTAAAATTAATTGTTTTGTGTTTCACCACAGTTTCTTTCCAGAACTTCCAGGTTTTTTTTGTTTTTTTTTTATCTGTATGATTTCAGGACATTTGATAAATCTAATATGTAGAATGGACAGGAGGAAAATGTATTGTGCTGATCTAATCCCAGATTTGGCATAGGCCATAAGCTTGCACATTTGAAGCAAAGAGCATTTCACACTTTATCTCCAAACAGGATTACACAATGTCATGCTATAATCCAGCAGCACGGCTCCCTTTATTTCCTTAGCCAATTCAAAAACTCCCAAGTCATCCATCTGGCATGCTTAATCCATAGCTTTTAACCTTTGTGTGGTAATGTATTAAATCAAACGGACAGCTGTTCACTTCACACTATATGCATATTCTATGCGACACAGTGCCATGATAATCAGCATTATTTCATGTCAGCTGTGAGCCCCTGGTGGGTTTTTCAAAAGTTGTACATCAAGATTGAGACAATAGTGACGCAAGCACTTCTCAATTACTAAACAGCCATCCTTTTTTCCAGTTGTCTATACTGTGAATACACAGCACAGTTTTTAATGAATGTGAACAGCGAGGACTCCCAGGTGACCTGCTGCTGCTGGGGAGTGATAATGAAAAGGGCGGATACTTTGGAGTAATCTGTCCAAGCTGCAGGTTCACCCGTAAATATGAATCATTCAGTGGAGAATCACTTTCCTACAAGTCTTACTGTATGTTGAGAGTGAAGATACAGAACTAAGCATGCTGACTCTTTGAACCTGGAGATGAGAAGCAAGCCTGCGCCTGCATGGGACTCTGGGAACAGCACCGTTTGGGAGGAATACACTGACATCACCTTTGTGCTGGCAAACAGCTTGATTCTGCTGGTCACCTCTGTCGTGGGGATTGCAGCAAATATTTTTGTCATACTGGCAGTTTATCACCAAAAATCCCTGCAAACTTCCAACAATGCGCTGGTGGTAAATCTTGCAGTTATAGATATTCTGAGGTGTGTCATTGACTGCCCCATTCTCTTAACCATCGTCGTGACTGTGTATCAAAGGGGACATGTGGACGATGTGATCTGTGACACACAAGTGGCATCTTTCTCCTTCAGCTGCTGCATCCAACTGTTGACACTGGCTTGCATAAGTGCGGAGAGATACCAGGCCATTGCACAACCCTTCAAAACCATTCAGAGGCGAAGACGGATTATGGTGCTGATTCCTGTCACATGGACCATGGCTATTGTGGTGGCTGGGTTTTGTCTGGTATTTGTAAAGGACTCACCCGTGCATGTGAGATGTAAAGGTTTACAGAGAGAAACATCATCCTCATATGACACATTTGGACTTTACATGTTGTTCCCACTTTGGGCAGCTTGCTTTGGTGTCATCATTGGATTCTATACTCGCATATTTACCCTTGTGAGATCGCACAATCGCAAAATATTTGACAAAGGTAGTTTCCCTCTTTCAAAAAAAGACAAAACAGAAGATAATCAGAAGAAAGAAGGAACCACAGCTGTGGAAAATAGACGCGAAAAATCAGAGCAAAACCAAACCTTGAGCAAAAGTGTTGCTCAGGTGGAAGTAGTGACACAAGCTGAACAAAATTCATTGAAGAAAGATTCCACAGCTGCTTTACTGACCTCAACAAAAGCTCTGCAATGTGTCTCCATCGGTTCGGAGAATAAAACAGAATTAAAAAATACCCTGGAGTTAACCGACTTGGAGACAGAACAACCTCGCCCACCTGCAATGCAGGCTGCAGCACAGACTGAGGAGAGGCCTTTAAAAACAGAGCACTCCGATCCCTGTGCCAAGAAAGTTGAAGCAAACCCATCAAATGGAGATGCTGTTGCTAGTGTTAAGAGCTCAACCACAAAGCCGCAGAAGGTGTCAAGCAATTTCGACACAGAAAAGCAGTCCAAAGATAGACTGGAAATTGACAAAGCACCCTCTGAAATGAAAGAAACCAGCCCCCATGTTGCATCACCTGCACAGTTAGAAACCCCTGGATCCAATTCTGTATTAGTGAGTGAACTAAAACAACCTAAGAACAACGACGGGGGAGAAACGCTTGCTGTTGCTACAGTAGATCAAGTGTCTTCATTAACTCCAGTCTCGAATAAAGTCCCTGAGACAGAAGCTGCAAAAGAGAATGTGGAGGTGGAAGGTGCTGTTTGCATGATGCCTTCAAAAGCAAGTAAAGAGAGAGCGACAAAAAAGAAGGAAAGTAAAATGGCTAAGCGGGCTGGCTACATAATTATAACTTTCCTCTTATTCTGGCTGCCGTTGATCATAACCATCCTGATGAATTTTGTTGTACACAAAAACAAGAATACACAGGTAAGTAGTTGTAGAGGTAGGGGTGCAATTTTTACTGGCATTTTGTATGTGAAAAATGTTTAATAAATGTAAATAATTGTGCTCTTATACTGCTGTAGTGGAAGCCTTACAAGCCTCTTAACTGTTTCTGGACTGTGAACTCACTTTTAGGTCCTAAAAATGACACCAGCAATGTATTTTCAACACATAGATACATACAAACAAACAAAAATGTCCATAACCATGTCTACATAACAAGTGATTACATGTAGGTCTCTGAATCCAAGGTTGAAAGCTTTTGTTTTACAGGTTGATAGCCGTTACATACCTACTGTTCTCTAACACTTTTGAATTTTCTATCATATTTTTTAGATCACAGTCATTCGGGACGTGGAGATTCTGTCAGTCTCTGTCGCCTGCATCACATCACTGAGTGACCCAATAATATATGCTGCAGTGAACCCTCAGTTTCGGACAGAGTTTTATAGGCTTAAAAACAAGGTTAAATCCATATTCAATAAGAAATGATAATATCTCCACTTTTGTCTACTTTTGACCTGCACTAGACCAGATGACCACATTCAATATTCACTATGTATCTGAATAATACAATGGTTAACATTTGTCTTGTCATTGTTCAAATATTAACTAAATTAAACCCCAAACGTCAAAGTGTGAAATTTTATTTGTGTAGGAGGCCTATTATTTTATATGCCGCTGAGTTGAGTTATATTTTATTCTGGCTGACATCTCAGCAGTTTCTAAACACTGCAGAGCAGAGGCGCTGCATGCTGTGGGAAGCAGCCTGGACCGACACAATCAGCTCAGCAGGTGGGCGCTGCTGAGTCTTCTGTCAAACAATCACCGAGGCCTGCTTGTCTGTCTCCAGAGACCCTGCAGTCAAGACCCACCACTGGGCCAGTCAGGTCCTCACATGTCCTCCAGCAGCACCTAATTATTATCTCATCCTGCTATTAGTGATGTTCTTTGAGTAATCAGGCAAACATTATGAAATCCATCTAATTGTGTTCTAGTAAAAAACAAGACATGGGTCATTTAATGGATGTTTCAGTAGAGCTACAGTATTTATTCTATCCACTGCACCAATTGCACAATGTGTGATTATTTGTCCCTTTTCCTTACCTCTTATATATGTACTCCATGACAAGATTTGTATTTCATTAAAAGCAAAGTGTTGCAGAATTTACATCACAACATACCAGCCTCATTGTGTTTCCTTCCATCAATCTCATTTTTACTGATAAACCTCCAACAAGAAGAGACATACTTTTAATAAAACAGAATTCTGCAATGACAGCATGCAAATCCTTAATTCAACCAGTTAACAGACAGAAATAGTATGCCAACAACTGTCAACTAAATCTAGAAATAAGAAGAGCCAACTTCAAATGCAGTTGATAAAGTTCTAACCGAGATATTTACAATATGAAAAATGTACAAAATGGCCCTTTAACACAGTGAAATCTACTAAGTCTCGCTTATGAATATTATAATTTAAGAGGAACTGAATGGAATTAATGTTCTACACTCTTTCATATTGTTCTCCAGGTCAATTGTATGTGTCCACATTAGGGTTAGTATCAGTTAAGTGTTGCGGAGAACATTCACTTATATTTCTACCTTGTGACCTAACTAATATGTACCCTGTATAGTTCTCAATATCAATTGTTAATCAATGACAGTGGCTTTCACAAAGATCCATATCAGAATGTCAAATATGTAAGCTAACACAATTTTTTGTCATTTTGACTTTCACTTGCACATTTCACAAACATGTCAGGATGTGTAGTATATTTTACTCATCAAGCGATGACATCAACCAGTTAATGAGTCAGTTAATGAATATTCACAACAGTTATCCCTTCCAGCTGATGTATGTTTTCTGAATTTACAACTGTGTGGGGGATTATTAGATACCAGTTAACTGAGGGGTTTCAAAACAATCTATTTAACTGAGTGGTGAACGATGTGAATGATTCTAACATGTAAGTAGACTGATTTAATATTCACAAAGATGGCCCTCAGTTAATGAATATGTGTGCTTTGTCATCAGAGGCCATCAAGGGTGACCTTTAACATCTGCCTTTCCTCCTTTGAATCAGAAGACAACAAATACAACTACATTACATATTCAAAAATAAAGTTTTTTCTCAGTATTTTTAGGCAACAACGATAACCACGCAATCCCAACACTTCCTTGCTCTGCTGTGCTTAATGGAGCAAGATCTGCTGGTTTGCTTTTATTTCCAAGGCAGCTGTCCATTCATCACTCTAATACCATGCAGAGTTTGACATCAGATGAGATCACTACTTCAAAAAACCCCGACTTCTGCTAATCTTATAATCCCTCTAGATTATGGCAGGTTGATGCTCGGTGGTCCCTCTCCTCAGCATCTGGTGCTTCTTGAGACCAGTTAGCTGATCAGATAGGCATGACATCTACAAGGCAGATACTCGGACAATGTTGCTCTGAGAGTATGCGGTGGTGGTGGTGGAGCCGTGGCCGTCGGATGAGGTCACCACTGGGGCAGATAGGCTGACCATGGAGGGAGTGATGTAAGGTTCGTCACATTTCAAGGGCACAGTCTCATCGAGTTTGGCATTCAGGCTGGAGCGGCTGTAAAAGAAAACAGGATGAGAAGAGGGTGAGAGGCCTGACCTTGTGAATGTATTGCACCACACCTGTTATAAAATGAGTGCTCATGAATGTCTATTTCAGTTTTCATAGAGATCACAATGTAGAGGAATATAACGTATATCTGAAATACAACTCTTTTAAATGTAGAGTATCTTGTATACATATGTATATATATATATATATATATATATATGTGTTGTTTTTGCATGCATGTGACACATAAACTGTATAATTGACTATGTACAGTATGTACTGTCTTGCTGCATGTGAAATAAGGTTTCACACAATAAATTAATGTCATTACATGTAATGGCAGTCATAACCATAAAAAATAATTAGCAATTTCTCACCTTTTAAAGAAAGGGAACCTGGATATTTTAACACCCAGTAATTTTAGAATAATAAACCCCCCATTTCTATGCACAATTTTAGACACTCGTTTTTAATCAGCTAATACTTTTTTTAAATTCAAACACTAAATTTGAAATGGTTCAATCAGGTTTTAGGACACGTGACAACACAGAGGCAGCCCTGCTAAAAGTGGTGAATGATATCAGAACAAATCTTGACAGCAGTTCTGGTGCCAGTAGACCTGACTGCTGCCTTTGACACTGTGGACCAACAGACTCTTTCAGATAAAGTGGGCATGTTGGCTTGTCCGGAATTGCTTTTAAATTGCTTTTTTAAAGATTTTCTTTATGTCAATAGATGACCACTTCACCAGATATTATAAGGTTACTTGTGGGATACCGCAAGGATCAATTTTGGGACTGTTACTTTTTAATTTGTACTTGGGCAGTGTCATCAGGAGGCTGGAGGCAATTTCTATAGCTCAACTAGGATAAAACAGAAGTACTGATCATTGGTGCAAAGGCCTAACCCTATCCCAAGTTAAGAAGCAAGAAATAAATTTTTTTACTCTGATTTTAATTTGAAATATCTCTAAAGTGAAGCCATTTCTCTCTCTAAGTAACACAGAGAGACTGATGCACGCTTTTATAACTGGCAGGCTAGACTACTGTAAAGCTCTCCTTTCTGGTCTACCGAAGAAAACAGTAAATCAACAACAATTAATTAAAAATTCTGCTCCACGAGTGCTGACTAAGACTAAAAGGACAGCACATTTCAAGCTTAAAGTATTTACACTGGTTACACGTTTTTGTTTTGTTTTTGAAACATTACATGGCCTTGCGCCTAACTACTGATCAGAAATGCTTTTTTAAACGTAAACTAAAAACCCATCTATTAAGTAGTATTTATCTAGTATTTTATAATTTCATGGTTTTATTATTTATAATTATTTATTATCATTCATTCTATTTCGTTTTAACGACACTTTACTGTTTATCATTATTTATTCTATTCCATTTAATTTCATCAATTAATTTAATTAAAGTTTTTACTTTAATCAATTGATTTTGAATATTTCATTATTTTATTTTTGTTGTTATTTTTATTGCTTGTATGATCTTTTATTATAGTATACCCATCTTTTTATCACCCATCGACTTTTTTTATACATATTTCTGTGGCTTTTATTGCCTTTAATTGATAGTCATAGCTAAAGAGTGACAGGAAAGGGGGAGAGAGAGAGGGAAGCACATGCCACAGGTCGGAGTTGAACCCATTGCCACTGTAGCAAGTACTCTGGGCACCAGCGCTATCAGGATGCCCGCATCTTTTATTGTTTTATTCAATTAACTTCTGTTTTGGTGTGCATTAGTCTCTCAATCCTTTTAAACATCCTATGTTTTGCCAGTTGTCAGTGTTTTGTCAGGCTTTTAAAGCACTTTGAACTGCATTAGATTTGTTTGAAAGGTACTATATAGATAGTTTGATGGTTTGACCTTTGTATGACATTTTTCACACCAAGAGTAATGGGTATCATTTCACCCAATTTATAAAATAGCACATTTTACAGCACTGAGATATCCATCTCTGAGAATTCTAGTGTTATAGAGGTGAAAGGAATTTTATTTGTGCTGCTTATATCGAAACATTTCAACAGCTTCTTTAGATACAGCGTCCTAGTTGCTCTGGATAATCCACAGAACAAGCTGTTTAACAATTTTCACAGAGAGAAGAGACTATCTGTTTCGTAGAAGAGATCTAGAGTATAAGGCACAGTGTTTCTGGAGGAAAAAATTGCAGATTTTTAATATTCCTTTGAGGGCCATCAACAAAATTCCATTAACTTTCATTGTATTGGGTTGGAAGCAAGAATCTCAGAAACAGATATGTTCAAACCAGGATAAATAAAACCAAAACTATCTGTAGATAGATACCAGTATAGATAAACTACGTATCTCCAAAATCTAGATAATTAATTTAATTAAATATTAATTTGACTGAAGCTTTGTGACAATGCATTTAATTCAATAAAATGAGGGTTTTTAAAACTAAGACTTAATTCAATAAAATGAGGGTTTTTAAAACTAAGACACAAGAGAATTTTCTGAATAAAAAAATTTGGAGATAGATGATTTTCACTGCACGGTGACAATATGTTTTTTTTTTTACTTTATAATGGATCATTGTCTATATATCTGTATCATAAATTCATCATTTAATTTCCCAGAACTGAATCTTTATCTTATTTTATAATACAGGATCAGTTGTTTGCCTGCATATGTGTGAATCTGAAGTGGAGTGAGTCAAAAGAGACAGAGATGTAGAGACAGACAAAAGAGCAAGACTGAGAGAGTACCTGTTGGCCACTGGCCTTTCTCTTATCTGTATGGTGCTGAGTTCCTGGTTGTTTGTGCTGGGCAAGCTGAAACTGCTCTTCTTCCTGTGGCGTCGAGAGCAGCACGAGCTGAGTCCGTGTGGAGACGAGGACAGCGAGGACGCACGGGAGCCTGATTTGTTCATCACAGAGATCTCCATGCAGTTGGACTGAAACGTCTGCTCGTCCACAAACTCATGATTCTGCAGAGGAAGATGGCGGAAATGTTGCTCATGAATCACTCTATTACATCAATGATGATTGGCTCTGCTAAACAATGAGTGAAGATGTTTCACAGTAAAGACTAAACAGACTGAACAGAATCCACAGCAAAATTGTTTGATAATTGGAAAATGAATCATCAAGGGAATAGAAATATATTGGCCCAGATGTCCATATTAAGTGCCATCTGTGAAAACATTCACAACTGTTATCCCTGTGATAAATGAGCATGACTTGAAGGTCAGGCTCCAAGTGCGTTTCAGGCTTTGCCAGCAGATGGCAGAGTGACACTGTGCAGGATCTGATGCCATGCCCTGGATCATGCACCCTTCTTATATGATCTCTCTGTCACTCCTGCACTGCACTCTACCATATATGAGAAGACTAATGTAAACATGTGCGCTGCCATCTGAATGGCACGAAGCCTTTACAGAGCTATTCCCAGACGACTGGCAAGCCTTTTACTGGGGGGAGGATCATCCATGAGAAGGGAACACTGATTTACTGCCTGTCCGAGTCTCTGTACAGGGTTTAGAGCAGCAAGTGTAAAACTCATGTCACAACCAAGCATTAAAGAGGCTCTTACATCTCTAAATTATAGATAGTGTAAA